ACAACAACAGCAACAGCAGTAATAATAATAATAAGAAAATTTAAGGGAATTTCGGGAATTGGCGTGAAAAATAATAAAAAAAAAATTAATTTTCACATAACAAAAAAAAACTTTGGGTCTTTGAAACGTAAAAATTACACGCCAATATGATTACAAACGATTTTGTAATTAGTTTTTGTTTGTTTGTTTGTTTGTTCGTTGAGCGTTTGTTATTTGAAAAATGCGTCGCATAACCATCGATTCGAAATTCGAAAAAAAAAAATTTATTATTATTATTATTTTCTCCAAAAATTTAAATAAAAACGTTTGGAAGAAAAGAAAATTTTTTTTTTTTTAAAATCTCGAGTTGACTTTTTTTTGTTTGCTTTTGACAAACAAACAAACAAACAAACGAAAAAAAAAGAATAGGTTCAAATGCGATTTTTCTTTCTTTCTTTCTTTTTTAAATCAACGAAATAAAACTAAATGAACCGGTTAAAAAGGTTTTGTAAATAAATAAAAAAAAAAAAGTTTAAAGAGCTCAACGGGAAATATAACGTGGAATTAGAAAATAAAAATAATGATTATTCCATAACGTTGTTGTAATATTTCCGGTATAAAAAAAAATATTATAATATAATTTTTTAACGGTTATTATTAAAAACGTTGACATATGCGTGTTATTTTTTTTATCGTCGCCATTTTGAAAAAATAAAGTCAAAACCGTATTAAAGAGGCAATTAAAATAAAGGGAAGAAAAAAAAAAAAATTTTTTTTTTTTTTTTTGCTTGAAAAACGGTTCGACTTGACACTACAATATTTTAAAGAAGACAATGATGGTGGTGAGTGTGAAGGGGTGGTGGTGGTGAGATAAGAGTCATCGCTGAAGAAAACGTGGGTTTAGATGGTGGCGGTGGTGGTGGTGATGGCGGAAGAGGAAGAAAAAAAAAGATTTTTTGCCTCCTTGAAAAACTCAACGGTTCTCATTTATTTCAATTTTTTTTCTCTCTCTCTCTCTCTCTTCTCTTCTCTTTCTCCACCATCGTCTTTTTTTTTTTGTCTTCTACCACTTCTTCATTTTCCGCTCTTTTACTTCTCCTTGTAACCTTTCAACGCCACATGACTTCTTCTTTCTTTTGTTCTTATTAAAAAAAAAAAAAAATTTTCGTGCCTGTGTAATGAATTTTTTTTTTTTTTTATCATGCGTGCAATTTTTTATCTTTCTTTCTCTCTCTCTCTCTCTCTCTCTACTAAAAGGAAAAATATCGAAATCGAAAAAAAAAAAAAGGTAAAAAGGTTTTTCCTCCCCCACCGCCTCCTAACCTCAGAGCAGCCATATTTTAAATTAAATCACATAACCTCGTCAAAGACATGCATTAGTAAATGTATGTATATTTACGCCTTTTTTTTTGTGCAAATTTCAACCTTTCTCTCTCTTTCTCTATCTCTCTATCTCTCTCTCATTCATATTTTATAATATCTATTTTCTTATATACGAATGTAAATTCGAAATCCAAAACTTAGAAGCAGGATAAAAAAAAAGTTATTCGTTTGTCACTCATCCGAATAGTGTTACCATAGTTACTATTCTGGTCTTTTATTTCTACTGACACGACTATAATTAAAACAACGCGAAAGATATGAAATGACGAATTATTTTCGCACGCTTTCAAAAACTAACGAATTTTTAAAAAAAATTAATAATGATGATGATGATGATATTATAATGGTATTCATTTGAAAAAAAAATTTTTTTTTGAATTTTGGCGCGTAGATTTTAAAAAAAATTTAAAATAAAATTGATTTGATTCTTTGCTTTTCTTTCCCTCCCTCTTTTTTTCCCCCTCATTTCTTATCTCTTTTCTCCCTCCTATTTTACTTATATTCTTTCCCCCCTCCTCTTTTTTTTCGCACAACTATTAATCCCCTCCTCTTTTTTGTCTCACAACTCTTACTCCCTTCTCCTCTTTTATTTCTCTTCCTTTCTTTCCCCCCTCGTTGTTTACTTATATTCTTTTACCCCTCTTCTTTTTTTTCGCACAATTTTCATTCCCCTCCTCTTTCTTTCTAAACAGCTCTCATTACCCCTTCTCTTTATGACCTCTTGTTCTTTCCCCCTCCTTTCTTTTTTTCCTAATATTTTTCCCCTTTCTTTTTTTAGTAATATTCCTTTTCCCCTTCTTTTTTTCCGCACAACTCTTACTCCCTCCTCCTCTTTTATTTCTCTTACTCTCTTTCCCCCCTTTTTTTTTACTTTTCATTGTCTTCTCTCACTGTTTTCCCTGCTCTGCCTTTCTCCTTTTCTTTTTCTCCCACTTCTCTTTCCTACACTTTCATTCGAGTAATCGTTCGATCGATAAAATCGATACTAAATGTTTTTTTTTTAAGGGGGAAAATGCGCGAGTTTTGATTTTTTTTTCGTTTGTTTGTTGGTTTGTTTATCTCATTCCCATCGAGAAAAAATCATCGTTTCAGTGTTAATCATTAAAAAATTTGTAAATTTTCTAGAAAAATTTAAAAACATGAAAAAAATTAATGAAGTAAAAAAAAAAAAATAATAATAATGAAAATTAATTGATCGTAATTAACAAAAAAACCGTTACGAAAACGTTTTTATTACGTGACGTAATAAGAAAATTGAAAAAATTTACTAACCGTATAATATTAATAATAATTATTATTTATTTATTTTTTAATGGATTTTAATGGAATCCAATCGTGTTTTCTTATTGGTTAATAAAAATTGGTAATAATAATAATAATAAAAATTTTCGAGATTTTTTTTTTTTTGTATGTAAATTTTCATAATATTTCATCCGTAAAATTGTTTAAAAATTTTTATTATTTGAAAAAAAAAAAAAAAATTTTTTTTAGTTTGTTTAAAAAAATGTAAACTCGAAGAAAAGAGGTCAAACCGTCGACGAAAGACATGCAAAAAAAAAAAAAGAAAATTTGAAATTTTTCTATTTGCCGCCTTTTTTCTTCCTCCACCTTCCCCCCCCCATTACTTCCGGTTCGTTATTTCAGTAATGGCGTAACAATTATATCGACGATATTAAATCGAATCTATTAAAATATTCGACAGGGAAATTTTTTTACAAAAGATGGAAGAAAGGAAAAAAAATGACGAAAGCGCGGAAAGAGAATACGAACAACAATATCCGGTTTTCCGATTTTTCTCGAGAGAGAAAAGAAAAAAAAAATTTTCCTTTCTTTTTTTTTTGAAAAATTACCTTTTTATTCAAATTTTTCTTTACGAATTGTTTCCCCCCTTCTTTTCCTTCCTCCCCTCTTCTCTTCTATCTCTCCTTCTCAAACGTTCCCCCTCCTCTTCCCCTCTTCAACCTCTCATTACCTTCTCCATCTCTTCATTTTCTCACCAAGCTTCTTTCACTCCAAAATTTCCCCTCAAACGATTTCTCCATTTTCCATAATTCGAAAATTTTCTTTTCCCTTCTTTTTTCCCTCCCCTCTTTTTCCCTCTCTCCCTCTTCCCCCTCCTCCTCCTCACTCTCTTGAATTTTTTTTTTATCAACGTTGAAAATTTCATTTTTTATTGTCTCTGTTTACATTAAAAAAAAAAAAAAAAGAAAATTTTTTTAATAGGAGAGAAAAGATGATTCCGACACGTTGGATGAAGATGAATGAAGAAGATGAGAAGATACAAAGACAAAGACAAAGAGAAAAAAAAAAAGAGAAAATGAAAAACTTTTTTTCTCGGAAAAACAAAAGAAAAGAAAAAGTTGGGGGAAAAAAAGGGCGTTAATGTTTTTAACGTTTTCTTTTTTCTTTTTTTTTTCTTCGCTTAACACATTCGGATAATGAAAAAAATTTTCTTTTTTTTAATCACGTGATTTACTTTTTTTTTCCGACGTCATTTGAGTTACGTCATTAACTACAAAATCGGGTGTTTAAATGATTAAAATGAAAAAGAGGAGTGTGGGGGGGCGGAAAAATTGTAATATTATTAATGAGAGGCGAGGGTTCGGGGAAGGGGTGTGGGGGGGATTCGTCCCTTTTTTACCCCCCCCCCACATTACCGATGCCTAAAATCACCAAAAAAAAAATATTTTTTTTTTCCTTTCGACTTTTTTTTTTTTCATCAGCATCAGCATCAGTAGTAAATCCCTCATCATCTCGCATCACTTTTTTTTTTGTAAAAATTTACGATGATAATAATAATAATACTATAATGCCTCCGTGACGTCATAAAAAATTAATTACCGGACGTTTTTTTTTAAAACGTGAATAATTGTAAAATTAATAAAAAAAAAAAAAATTTTTTTTTTTTTCATTTCGTACGACATTTTGTAGGACGGAGATGAGGTCGCGACAGGTGATGCGTAAATTATTCGTGACGTTTGTTTTTGAAAAAAAAAATTTATATCGGGGAAATTGTGCGATGGGGGGAAAGAGACAGAAAGAGGAAAAGAGGCAAGAGAGAGAAAGAGGGAAAGAGAGGAAGAGGAAGGGAGGCAAGGGAGAAAGAAAGAGGGAAAGAGGAAGAGGAAGGGAGAGAAGAAAGAGAGAGAGAAAGAGAGGAAGAGGGAAGAAGGAAAGAGAGAGAGAGTGAGGAAGGAAAGAGAGAGAGTGAGGAAGGAAAGAGAGAGAGAGTGAGGAAGGAAAGAGAGAGAGTGAGGAAGGAAAGAGAGAGAGGGAAAGAGAGGAAGAGGAAGGGAGGGAAGAGAGAGAAGGAAAGAGAGGAAGAGGGAGGGAGGGAAAAGAGAGAGGGAAAGAGAAGAAGAGGGAAGAGGGAGGAAAGAAAGAGAGAGAGAAAATGAGTGCTACAAACAGAAAGAGAGGGAGAATGAGTGCTATAGAGGGAAAGAGAGAGAGAGAAAGAATGAGTGCTGTAGATAGAGAGAGAGAGAAAATGGGTCGTGTAGAGAGAGAGAGAGAAAGAGGGAGGGAACATACGTTACAATCGGTTTTAAATTTTTATAATTTTAACGGTTTCAGGTGCGAATAACACTTTCGATGAGGAATTAACCGGATCGTTTTGTTCAAACGATAACAACAGCATGAGCGTTAATTATTTGGACATGGAAGAAGGGAGACTTCCTCAGGCACCACTTTCTTACATACCCAAAGATCCGGATAAATCAAATTACAAAAACAAAGTCAAGGTAAAACAATAAAAAAAAAAAAAAAATTTCACATCCACCATTTTCTTTTTCCACTCGTCGTCAATCAATTCGTCGTTATAAACAAACGAAAAAAATTTATTTATTTGATTAACAATTACAAAAAAAAAATGGCGAACTGACAAATATTTAATAATAATAATGATGATGGTGATAATGATAATAATAATGATAACTTTTTTTAACTGTCGATAAAAATTTTTATTCCCGTATTTAACGTTCACCCTTTTTGTTTTTGGTTTTTTTACCGTTTTTTGTTTTTAACTTTTCCATTTTTGTTTCGAATCTGTTACAACCACAAAAACAACCACAATCGATGATGACGATGACCATTTAAAAAATTTTGTACAGAAAAAAAAATTTCTTTTTCATTTTAAAACCTTTGTTTTATTATAAACGCCATTTGCAATCAGAATAATTTTTTTGTTTTCAACTCTCTCTCTCTCTCTCTTTTTAACATTTTTAAAAATTTTGTTCCCCCATCCACATCCACACTCTCTTCCCAAAATTCTCGCTTTCAGGTATGCACTCCTCCCTCACCCCCTTGCATTCGGAAAAAAAAATAATAAAAGCAATTAAAGAAAATTAATGTGTGATGCAATCAACGGTAAAATTAATTAATTTAATAATTTTGGCAACACCGCGTGTTCGACGATACGTACTCACATATAATACAAACGGGGTTTATTTACTCTATGATTTTTCTATCCCTTTTCCTTCTTTTCTCGTACTACTTCAATTAATTTTTTTTTTTTATTTTACGATGACGTCATAATAGAACGTTTAAGAGTAAGAGAAATTAAACTTATCGATTTTTCTCGAAAAATTTCGTTTTTCTTTTTCTTTTCCGATAATAATAATAATAATAAAATCGTGAAAATTACATTATTATTATTATTATTATTATTATTATTATTATTATTATTATTATTATTATTATTATTTTACGAGTATCGTATTTTCCTATATATATATATTTTATGTCGAAAACTTTTCTTTTTTTATTAAAGGCACACCTGAAGTTTTAATATATATATTAAAAAAATGGATGTTCTCACCTTCCATAATTTTTATATTATCGTTATCGTCATTTTTTTAATATATATACGTAAATTTTAAAATTCGACGAAAGGGGGAAAAATTTTTGGTGGAAAAAATTTTTGGCGGGAAAATTTTTCCTCTACGAAACGTGAAAATTTATTGAAAATGGCGATGATTTATTTGACGACTTTTTTATAATAAATTTAAAAACGATTTTATTTTAATTTTTTTTTTTTTTTTTTCATTGAAATATTTTCGTTTTGGTTATATAATAATAATAATAATAATAATAATAATCATCATCATCATCGTCATCATTATTATTATTTTTATTATTAACGGTCATCATTGTATTTGTAGTTGCGAACTTTGTATTAAAAAAAAAAAAAGTCGTTAACATCGTTTTAAAACTTATTTTGCATCGTTTTAAATAATTTTTTTTTTTTTAAATAATAATGATGATGATGATGATAATAATTATAAAAGTTTTTAGTCAGGTAATTAACAAGTTTTTTTTTAAAGGAAAACTTTTTTAAGGGAAAAGTTTTTTTATTTTTTTTTCCCAAAAAAAAACTGACATTTTTTCATTTTTTTTTTAACTTAATACCTTCTTTTTATTTTTTTAACTCTTGTTTTAAATTTAATTCTTTCACGTTAACTTAAAATTATCAACATTACCCCCCCCACTTACCCTTCCCCCTTCCCGGAAAAAACGTCGCCATTTTCAAAAATACCCCCTCAAATGATGATTTTGTTAAAAAAAAAATATATATATCTTTTCTTAAAGTCGTTAATTCTTTCACATTATCAACGTTACCCCGCCCCCTCACTCACCTCCTCACCCTCTCACCCCTTCCCGGAAAACGGAAAAACGTCGCCATTTTTAAAAATATCCCCGAACGATTTTGTTTAAAAAAAATAAATAATATCTTTTCTTAAAAACGTTTAACAAATTTTATTAAATAAAAAAAAAAATATTCGAAATTCCCCCTCCCCGCAAAAAAATGGGGGGGCAGGAAGCGAAAGAAAGAGAGGGAAAAAGGGTGGGGGACCCGTTTCGAACGAGAATTTTTTCGAAAAGAAATATGGCGTTATATATTGTCGATATAATTTATCGTTTTCCCCCGCCCTCCCCGTCCCCTTCCCCGTACAAAATATGAACGATACGATATATTTTTCTGAGGGGGGGGGTAAGGAGGAGAGAGAGGGAGGAAGATTTAATTAAAAATTTTTTTTTCCCGGGCTTTTTATTTTAAAAAAAATAAAACCTCGTAATTATGATTTAATTTAAACGCACACGTATATCGTACGTGGGATACATTAACTCAACACAAATCGTTCGATTAATTATCGCCGATACATGATCGATTAATTATTTATTATTATTATTATTATTATTATTATTATTATTATTATTATTATTATCATCATCGTTATCGATACGTGTGTGTGTGTGTATTGTTTTTTTTTTATTTAAATACACGAGTTCAAATTGCAAAATAAAAAAAAAAAAAATTTAATTTATAAAAAATCCATCAAAATTAATTAATTAGTAAAGTCACACGCACGAACCCACCCACGTACCCACGCAAAAATGCGTTATTATTATTATTATTTTTCAAAAATTTTTTGTGTTTTATACAGAGGCACAGCATACACGGAATGATGGAAGAAGAAAATGTCGTTAGACCGCATCAGGAAATGGCACAGCTGTCGTTGGATGAAAAAAAATTTCTTTTAGCAGTCGAAAGGGGAGACGTGGCATCAACGAGAAGGTAAAACAAAAATTTATCTCTCTCTCTCTCTCTCTCACTCGTGAGAAAAAAAAGTAATGATAATGATAATAAACGCGTGATCGAACAATTCGTTCGTCAATTTATTATAATTTGTCTGCTTTCATTGTTTGTGTGTTTAGATTTATAACGTATAAGCTTTTGTATGCAATGCTACCAACTTTTCAAATCTGAAATTTTTTTTTTAAAAACTCGAAAGCCCCCCTCAACCGTTACCATTATTATTATTATTATTATTATTATTTGAATTTTTTATTTTTTTTTAAAGGTTTTAAAAACTTTTGTTTTTTTTTATTATTTTTTTTTATTTTATTTCTTCTTATTTTTTCTTATTGCTCCGCCATTTTGTTTTTTTTTTTATTAAAAAATTTCATAACGCTTACAAGTAAAACTGAATTTCGAACGATTGTTTACTTAAATTAAAAAAAATACGAGACGTGGCATTAAAATAAAAAAATTCCCTACCCCCTCCCTTTTCCTTTCTCCTTCCACTTCCCTTCCCCTTTCCCTTTTTTAAAACTCGACCGTTTGTTAAGTCTAACCGTTATTTTTAAGGCACGCTTCAATTATTCGAATTTATTTATTTATTTATTTTTTTAAATTTAACTTTTTGAATTTATAATGATGATAATAATAATAATGATGATGATGATGATGATGATAATAATAATAATGATGATGATGGTGATGTTGATGATGATGACGATGTTGATGACGACGTTAATAAAATTTTTTGGTTTTAGTTAGTTTTTATTATTATTATTAATTTTTTTTCTTATTTTTCGAGACAGTGTTGTAGTTGTTGACGAAAAAAGATTTTTACTAAGCGTCGAAAGAGGAGATTTGGCAACAGTGAGAAGGTTAATAAAAAATTCGAAAATTGAAACAAAAATTTTTTTTTATGTCATAGAGAATTAAATTTTATTAATTAATTTTAAATAATGGCCTTTGATTTAAATTTCACTTCATTTCATTTTACATAGATCAATAATAAAAAAAAAAAAAAAACGTGGCAGAAGAATTTTTAAAATATAAAAAAATTTGCAAATCGTTTACCGCAGATGTTAAATTACATAACATTACATTATCGGGTTGTTGTCGTTGTTGTTGTTTTATTTTATCACATTTTTCCTTTCTTTCCTTTTCTTTCCTTTTTTATTTTCCATTGATAAAGGAAAAAAAAACCTTGAAATATCAATTTTGAAAATTAATTTGATGATGACAAGAGTTTAATATTGTCGTATCATTACAATTAAAGGATCCGCCCAACGGACAAAAAAAAGGAAAAAACAAAAAAATCTAAAATATATGTATCCGGTTGGTAGATCAATTATTTCCGGTTTTAATTAAATCAAAAGAGAATTTTTAATTTTTTTTCATTTTTTTTTTGGAACCGTCTGGATAAAATCCGGATATTCCTGTTTTTCCTTCTGCATCTGTACGGGTCATTCCATGTTTTTTTTTTTTTAAATCGATCTGAAAACTTTTTGGCGCGTGTTTAAACGTTGAACCCGTTAAAAACTTTATCCATAAATTTTTTAACTTTTTTTTTTTTTTTTAATGACTCCATTATTCAATTTATTATTATTATTATTATCATCATCATCTTCTTTTTTTAAAACAGATTTTGGAATAAATTTTACTTTAAAAAAAAAAAATTAATTATTTAAGAAATTCGATGGAATTCATTACAAGTAGGAAATGAATTTTTTTTTTTTTTAAATTAAACGTTAAAATTCGACGACGGAAAAAACGGAGAGGGGGAGGAGGGCGGAGAGGAGGAAGAGGGAAATTGCTGTCGTAAAATCTAAGAAAACCTTAACAAAAAAAAAAAATTAATAAGCTACAATTGATTATAATTAAAATTTAAATAAAATATTTAAAATTTTTCCGCGTGAATTTTCCAGCTAACAGCTAATTGAATTTTTTATCGTCTCTTTCTCTCCCTCTCTCTTTCTCTCGCACACACATATACTTTTCCTTCATTCTCTCTCTCTCTCTCTCATACACATACTTTTTCCACTTTCTATCTCTCACACACACTGTTTTCAAATTCTCTTTCTTTTTCTCTTTCACACAGACACATATACTTTTCTCTCTCTCTCTCTCTCTCATGCACACACACACACATACCGCACACATATAATTTTCCCACATTCTCTCTTTCTCTCTCACACATATATTTTCTCCATTTACTCTCTCTCTCGCTCACATACACATTCTTTTTCCATTTTCTCCCTCTCTCTCACATACACATACTTTTCCTACATTCTCTCTCTCTCTCACACACTGTTTTCACATTCTCTCTCTCTCACACACTGTTTCCATATTCTCTCTCTCCCTCTCTCACACACACACTCAGACACATATACTTTTTCGACTTCTTCTCTCATTCTCACACATACAGACACACATAATTTTTTCACTTGCTTTCTTTCTCTCTCTATTTCTCTCTCTCCCTCATTTTCAAATAAAAAAAATTTATTTAAATTTCAAGTAGTTGCAAGTTTCATTATTATTATTATCATAATATCATGATTACAGGATTGTCAGCAATAAAAAAAAAAAAAAAAAAAAAATTCACTTGCGTTTATTACAACGTAGTAATAAAATTTTTTATAGTTTTAAATGTTTATACGTCAATCACTAAACCTATAATAATAATAATAATAATAATAATAATAATAATAATAATAATAATAATAATAATAATAATAATAATTTTCTTCCACTTGACCTTATTATTCTATAACGCACGCACGCACGCACGCACGAACGCACGTACAAACACTTACTTACTAAACTTTAAAATTAAACCACAGTATAATAAAATATTTACACCATTAGTTAATTAATATTTATAATTTTAATTAATTGATTAATTAATTATTCTCATTGATTATATATGCATTATCGAGAGAGAAATTCTTGTTGGATAATAATTCCTGTAAGAAAATTATAAAAACTTTTAAACATTAAAATCTTTCCTTTTATTTTCTTTTTTACGGTTATAAAAATGAAAACCTTTTCCCTCCTTCGTATTCTCCCCTTCACGAGGCCACTACTTCGTCACGTGTTTACAGTTTCCGTTAAAATGATGACGTAAGGATGACGTGAGTGGTCGAGAGGAAAAAAGGAGGGAAAAAAATTCCCTGACGTTTTGCTTTTTAACGCGAGTATCTTTTTATTCAAATGAGATCGGTAATACATTATTTATTACGTAATTATAATATGACGTCACGTAAAACGTCATGCGATGGGGGAGAGGAGAAGGGGAAGAGGAAAGAGGGAAAAGGGGAAAGGGGAAAGGGGAAAGGGGGAAATTTAAAATAATAAAAATTATTATTAAGTACGGAGCTGTAATGAATACATTTCGTTGCATTAATTTTTCTCCAGGGACGAATCCAGGTTTTTTTTCTTTCTCGCGCACTTGGACGCACACGCACGCACGCACTCGAATTGATATTTATTATATACATAGCATTTATTTATTTAAAAAAAAAAAAAAAAAAATCATGGGAAAATTTTATATGCGCGACAAAGAGGTAAATTTTAAGCGTAGTATGTGCACGAACGAAATTTTCGACCGTTAATTTTTTACTCTATGAGTTAAATAGAGTAAGTATAAATAACTCAAAATCATTAGTAAAAAAAAATCACAGATAAATTTACCGTGTGGAAAATTTTTATGTTAAGAAAAAAAAAAAAATGAAAAATGTCGGTTGGTGTGAGTACGGATTCGAAAAACGTTTTTTTTTCTTTCTCCGACATCTGGAAAAAATTTTTCTAAAGAGAGCGGGAAGGGAGGAGGGAGAGGAGAGGGGAATAGAAAGGGATACCAATAAAATCGAAAATGAAAAACGAATTTTCCAAATCAACGAAAAGGAGGCAGGGATACGTCAAAAAAAAAAACGAAAAAAATTTTTCTGATATTGATAATTTATGCTTTTATTCGTAGAAAAAAATTTTATTATCATTATTATTATCATCATTATTATTATAACGTTCTTTTTATTTATTTTTTTTTTGCAGAACGTTGCAAAAAGCTCAAGAAACGGATTTTATAAATATAAATTGCGTTGATCCATTGGGACGTTCGGCACTTTTAATGGCCATAGATAATGAAAATCTCGAAATGGTCGAATTATTAATCGAACATAAAGTCGAAACGAAGGATGCTTTACTTCATGCCATTTCCGAAGAATTCGTCGAAGCTGTCGAAGTACTTTTGGATCACGAAAAAACAATACATAAACCTGGAGAACCTCACGTAAGTTTTAATAAAGGATCACTCCCTCTCCCCCTAAGGTTAAACATTCGTTTTTTAAAAGGCCAAAAGGTCACGTAACCAAAAAAACATCCAAATATTCCATACGTATATTAATAATCGAAATTTTTTTAATGTATTCGTCATTATTATTATTATTTTTCTTATTACTTTTTCATCTTCTTCCTCATCTTCTTCTTCTTCATCTCCTTCTTCATCTTCTTCTTCATCTTCTTCATTATTTCACTCAATTAAAAAAGGAGAAAAAAAAATTTTTTATCGAAACGTAATTCGCGGTTATTATTTTAACGTTCAAATTCATTCGGCGTCCGCCATATTTAAATTAATTTTTTCATATTTAACTTACGAAGCTAATTTATTTTCCTTTTTTTTCTATAATAATAATGATGATGATATATATACGTAATTCGTAACAAGAAAATCGAGTTTATTATTTTTACGTTCGTTTGTAAAATTTATAAAAAAAAAAAAAAAAAACAGAAAAAACCGTTAAAATTACTTTAATAATAATGATAATAAAATTAATGTAAATTTTAAAAAGCTTTTAAGTTAAAAAAAAAAAAAATATTTTGTTTTCGTCTTCTTTTCGAATCCATAAAATAAATTTTAATCAAATTTATAAAAAAAAAAAAAAACAATGAAGGGGAGAAAGGGAGGGAGAGGATGTACAGGGAGGAAGAAGGGGAGGGTAAAAAAGGATCGTTCGGAAAAAATTTACTCCGAAAAACATTTTTTGTTTTCGTTTTTGTTTTTTGTTTTTACGACAAATTTTTTAAAACTACCCGTGCAAAACATCAGTGAAAAATTTTATTTATTTATTTATTATTATTATTATTAATATTTTGTGTGTGGGAAGGGGGTGGAAAGAGAGACTGGAAATTTGGCAAAAAAAAAAAATTTAGAAACTTTTACGAAACTTTTTTTTTTTTTTGTAAAAGTTTTTTGTTTTTGTTTTTTTTTCTAGAGCACAACTCTTTCGTTTTGAAAATAATAATAATAATAATAATAATAATAATAATAATGATAATTTTCTTTTGAAAATAGGAGGATTTTGAAAATGACACCGGAAACGAAAAATCAAAAAAAAAAAACGAAAAAGGTTTCGTCAATAAAATAATTCTTATAAAATCAAAAGGATGAAGTATAATCATTGAGAGATGGAGAGGGAGGGGGAGAGAGGGAGAGAGACAGAGAGAGAGAGAGGGGGGGGAGAGTTTAAAAAGCAAAAGGATTTTGCTAGATGAGAAAGAGACAGAGAATTCGAGTCATCTCTGAAGATGAAAGTGCTTCTGAAACGAAATGATAAAAAAAAAAATTTCAACGAGATTTGTCAAGCGAGAGAGAGAGAGAAAGAGAGAGGAAGAGAGAGAGAGAAAGAGAGAGGAAGAGAGAGAGAGAGGAAGAGAGAGAAAGAGTGAGAGAGAAAGATGATATAATAATAATTGTATCAAAAATTCGAATATTTTTCGACCGTGAAATACGATAGGGGTTCATCGTTTAAAAATTTTTACTTACGGGGTTGTTGTTGTTGTTGTTGTGATGACACGACAACAAACAAACAAACAAAGGGAAAAAAATTTTTTTTTCTCTCTCTTCTTTTTTTAACGTAATTTTACGTTCGAAAAATTCATTGATCGTGACACGGAAAATGAATGAAAAATTTATTAAAAAAAAAAAAACCAACGAATCATTCTTTTCGTGATTATAATAATAATAATAATTTTTTTAAAATTTATTAACTTTTTATTATTATTTTATTAAAAAAAAAAAAAAAAATAGAAAACAATAAATTTTATTTATTTATTTTTTCTTTCTCTCTCTTTTTTTATAACCGTGAAAAAGAAAAAAACTTCACGCCATGTTTGTTTATTGTCGAGTCTCGTAGACTTGTTTTCTTTTTTTTTTTTGTAAATATTTTCTTTTGTTAATAATAATAATAATAATAAATTTTAATTCGGTAGAGAGATGAAAATAAAAACAGACACGCATGCACATGCACACGCACACGTTTTTTTTCAGAAAATAAAAAATCGTATTACCAACACAGAAAAAAAAAAAAAATTTGAAATTTGTAAAGAAAAAAACCGTTGGAATAACGATTCGATCGGTCTTTGTGACGTGGTCGTAATGACGTGGCTTTAGTAATTATAAAGATAAGTGGAGGGCCTGGCATTATCGTAATGAAAGACAATTCTTCTTCCTTTTCTATTGGCTACCTTCGGTCGTTTTTCTCGGATGGTATTATTGTCAAATATAAACCTCTGAATTTATGATCTGATTTCGTTGCAGCAGATCAAAGTAGGTGCCATGCCTTTGTAATCCCACCAAACTGATAGCAGTACCTTTTTTTTGGTGAATGTCAGCCTTAGAAGTTGTTGTTGCTTGCTCGCCTTGCTTAGACCAGGATCTTTTCCTCAAAATGTTGTCATAGACAACCCACTTTTCATCTCAGGGGACCATTCTTTCAAAAATGGGTCGTTTAAGAAGCATATCACAAAGACCAAGTCGCCTCGTTAACTCACATTCCCTAAGGCTATGCCCAGGCTTCTTTTGGTACCCAAGGCACCGCATGTGACACATCTTGCTTCTCTGCAATGTTCCTTGTCGCACTCTGCCTATCATAATCAATGAGGGCCTTTATTTGCCCATCATCAACCCCAACTGGACACTCAGAGCACTCCTCATCATTCAAAGAAAAATCTCTGGAATTTTAGGACTCCCAATTCTTTTAAGGCTTCATCACCCTCACAGCCCACAACTTTTCACTGACATGCGAAGCATTGATACCCTTTCAAAAATAAAACGGAAATGCTCGCTTTGGCTCCCCATGTTTTCAATAAAATGTCGGACGTTACAGAGGAAACCAAATAATAATAATAATAATAATAATAATATATCAAAAGTTCTAATCTGTGCCAAAATGCAAAACGTATTTCAAAAACAGCACAATCTGTCCGCAATCTATTCCGCAATTACTTAATTACGACACGAAATTTTTATATATGTAAATAAATTAAAAGAAAAAAAAAATTCATTCCATAGAATAAATAAATTTTTTTATATTTTATCCATAAAAAAAAAAAACGTCAATTTTTAAATTGTTGTTGGAGTTGAATTTTTTTTTTTTAGTAAACAAACAAACATTCAATCAATGACTGATGATAATTTCCTTTCGTTCCAAATCGAATGTTCTTAATTTCATTTAATTGCCTCATTCAATTTTTTTTTTTTTTTGTGGGGGGACGAGAGGAGGGAGGAGGATGAAGAGGGAGAGAGAGAGGGAGATGGATTTATTTTCATCCTCCATTTTGAAATCTGAAATGTATATTTGTATAATTTATTATCAACCAAATGAAAAAAAAAAAAACAACAACGACAACGACAACAACCATCATTATCGATTTGATTGATTGATTGATTGATTGATGATTTAAAATTTTTTTTTATAGTTCGAAGGTTTTGTGTTGGGGTTATCATTAAAATTACCAATGGAAAATTTTCTAATTTAAAAAAAAAAATTATTTTCCAGCAGAGTTGGGAAGCGTTACCGCCGGATACGGCAACATTTACACCGGATATAACGCCATTGATATTAGCAGCTCATAGAGATAATTACGAAATAATAAAAATATTACTTGATAGAGGTGCCACGTTACCAGATCCCCATCACGTGAGGTATCGTATCGGATGTGGAGTACGTGAAAAAACGATATCCGGTACGAAAAAGAAAAATTCTAATTTAACGGTTTTTTGTTAATAACAGATGCGGTTGTAAGGAATGCGTGACGTCAAGACAAGAAGATTCTTTAAGACATTCTAGAAGTAGGATAAACGCATATAGAGCATTGGCAAGTCCATCACTGATAGCATTATCATCAAAAGATCCCATATTGACAGCATTTGAATTAAGTTGGGAATTGAGAAGGTTGAGTTTTCTAGAACACGAATTTAAAATTCAATATCAGGTACAAATAAAAATTTTCCATCCTTTAAATTTATATATACCGTGAGGTAAACATTATAATTACGTCACTAACTAATCCACATCATCATTTTTCTATTTCCTTTTTTCATCATGTTTTTATTTAACCTTTTCTTCTTAAAATTTTATTTTTTTAAATTATTATTATTATTATTATTATTCTCTTTATTTATCCTGATCCGCGATCCTTTTCACGCTTTTTTTTCGACGAAAAAAAAAATAACAAAACAAAAAAGGCGAAAAAAACAGAAAATTTTCTTTTTTTTTGTGATGCGCGTCATTTAATTTAAGACGTTTCCGGTTTTCGATTCGAATAAAAAATTTTAAAAAAAAAAGGTGAAAGAACACACGGACGGACAGAAGAAAAAAAAAAAAAATTTATTGCTTAACTTTGAAAAAGGAAGAAGAAAAAGGAAGGCAAAAGAAGGAAAAAAAAAAAAAGGAAAGAGGTTCGCTACTATAAAACAAGTTAACTGGCGCAAAGAAAATTCGTTTCCTTTTCCTTCTTTTTTTCAACCTTAAAAGGTTGTTTTTTTTTTTTTTTTTAATTTCGGAAATAAAAATGAAAGAGGAAAAAAAAAGACGTGAAACACATTTACAAAAAAAAAAAAAAATAAATAAAATTCGAAAGAAATGAAAAAAAGAATGAGAATGGAAAGGTAGGTAGGTAGGGAAGAAAAGAAGGAAGAAAGAAAGAAAGAAAGGACAGAAGGTTGAGGGTAAATCGAGAAAGAGAGAAAGGGAGAGAGAGAGAGACAATCGGAAAGGGATTAGAAGGAGAAAGAGAATATGAGAATAGAAAGAGGAGGAGAAAGAAGGGGAAAAATAGGAAAGAGAAAGGTAAAGACGAGATCGTAAAGAGAGAAAAAAAGGAGGAGAAAAGAGGGGAAATGAAAATAAGACTGATGCAGAGAAAGAGGGGAAAAAGAGGGGAAGGGAAACAGGGGAAAAATTATAAAGATAAAAACGAGATCGTAGAGATAAGAAAATAAGGGGAAATGAAAATAAGAGTGAGATGGGAAAAGAGGGGAAATGAAAATAATAAAAGAGTGGAAGGGGCAAAAGGAGGAGGAGGTAGAATGGAGGGGTGGAACGGAGGGGTAACGGAGGGGATTTCGAACGATAGTTTTATTAATACGTTAAAAATAAATTTTGTTTTGTTTTGTTTTTTTTTTAAAGCGTTAATTACACGGATTAAATAAATAAAAATTGATGGCGTTTGTTTTTAATTGTTTATTTGTTTGTCGTTTGTTTGTTATTAGGAATTGAGAAAACAATGCCAAGATTTTGCAACGGCTTTATTAGACCACACTAGGAGTTCATACGAATTAGAAGTTTTGTTAAATCACGATCCCACGGGACCCGCTTTCGAACACGGTGAAAGAATGCATTTAAATCGTTTAAAATTAGCCATTAAATTAAGGCAAAAAAAAGTTTGTTATTTGAATTTTTTATTTAAAAAATAAATCGTATCGAATCGAACGATGTATCGATCGATGTATCGTTTTTCTTTTTTCAGTTCGTTGCTCATCCAAACGTCCAGCAATTACTTGCGTCCATTTGGTACGAGGGACTCCCGGGTTTTCGTAGGAAAAACATGATACTCCAAGCAATGGAAATTGTCAGGATCGGAATACTTTTCCCATTTTTTTCTCTCATGTACATTCTGGCACCACATTCTAAAATAGGACAAACAATGAGAAAACCTTTTATTAAATTCATATGCAATTCAGCAAGTTATTTAACTTTTCTATGTAAGATTTATTATTCGGGGAGGGGGGGCGGGTATGATGGAAGGAAGAAATGCCAATTTTTCTTTTTTTTCTTTCTGGAAAATAGTTTTACTCATACTTGCATCACAAAGAATCGAAACGGTCGTGGGTGATCTTTTCGGATTGACAAACGATGGTATGAAAGCACCGGATATAACGACAAAAAGAGGAGCTTTACCATCCATAATCGAATGGCTTATACTTTTTTGGGTTGCCGGTAAGTTTGTCTGTTATACCTTTTTTTTATACCTTAAAGGTTAAATTTTGATTTGATAAAAGGTTTGATTTGGAGTGAAATAAAACAACTTTGGGATGTCGGACTCGAAGAATACGTACACGATATGTGGAACGTTATAGACTTCGTTACCATGTCTTTATACGTTGCCACCGTGGCATTAAGAATCGTTGCTTACTACAGGGTGAGTTATTTAAATTAAAACTCATTATTGGGGGGTTTTGGTCGTTAATGACACGCACACACGCATTTACAGGTTCAAAAAGAAATAAGCGAAGGTACCGGATCAAATAGACTATATATCGAATTACAAAGAGAAGAATGGGATACGTGGGATCCTATGTTAATAGCAGAAGGACTTTTTTCAGCAGCTAATATATTTAGGTAAAACCGTTAAATTTTTTTTTTAAACGTTTTTTCATAAGAGTATGACGTCATAACGATTTCCTTCTCTTTTCAGTTCCCTCAAATTGGTGTACATATTTTCAGTTAATCCATATTTAGGCCCTCTTCAAGTTTCACTCAGCAGAATGGTTTTAGACATAATGAAATTTTTTTTCCTTTACGTGTTGGTATTATTTGCATTTTCCTGCGGTTTAAATCAACTTCTTTGGTATTATGCGGACATGGAAAAAAAAAAATGCGTGCCGGAATACGATTTGGGTAAAAACATGACAAAAAATCTGTCGTCCGACAGAACAGCGTGCCTTGTTTGGAGAAGATTTTCAAAGTATGAAATTATTTTCCTCCCCCTCTCCCTCTCTCTCTCTTTCTATCTATCGAATTTTTTTTTTGTTACAGTTTGTTCGAAACGACTCAAACGTTATTTTGGGCAGTTTTCGGTTTGATCGATTTGGATAGTTTCGAATTGGAGGGAATAAAAACATTTACAAGATTTTGGGGTATGCTCATGTTTGGAACTTATAGCGTTATCAATATTGTCGTTTTGCTCAATCTTCTTATAGCAATGATGAATCATAGTTATCAGCTCATATCCGTGAGTACATTTCCCCTTTGTCGTCCGCCATCTTGCTCTTCATACATTATGAGTTTTTGTTTTTTTAAATTAGGAAAGAGCTGACGTTGAATGGAAATTTGCACGTTCGAAATTATGGATAAGTTATTTCGAAGAAGGTGGTACCGTGCCACCTCCTTTTAATATAATACCAACATTTAAAAGCATGTGGTATTTGAGTCAGTGGTTGTATAGAAAACTTTGCGGTCATTCGAGAGCGGCTAAAAAAGAACACATGAGAACGATAAGGGTAATTATTATTATTATTATTAATATATTTTACGAACGAGTGCGAGTGATACGGATGATTATTATTACGTCATAAAATTTCAAACGTATTTTATTATTATTATTTATGTGTATTGAAAATAAAAAATATAAAAAATTTAACGTGAGTGGTTATGATAAAAACAAATAAGTAATTTTTTTTTAGAATTCCGCGTTAGCGCATTTGGAAATGGTAAGACAGTAATAATAATAATAATAATAATAATAATAATGATAATAAAAAATTTTGTAATTAAAAATTTGAGACTTATCGCAACAAAAGTCTCAGAGCGAGAGAGAAAAAAAATAATAATATTCAGTTGAAATATTTTTCTTGTTTTTTTTTAATTTTAAATTTTAAATTTGTATTTATTTATTTATTTATTATTAAAAATTTTTTGGCTTTTTATTATTAAAAATCGTTGAGTAAAATAATAATAATATTAATTCTTTAAAAAAAAAAAAAAATTAGTATCGAGTGCAATACACAAACACACACAGCTTTTGATTGGTGCAAAAAAAAAAAGTAAATTAAATTAAATTATTTGCTTTTTATTTTTTTATTGGCTGGCATTAATAAAATTATTAATTGATTAATTAATTATTTATTTATTTAATTATTTATTACACGCGCGCGCGCACGCACACACACATACAGACACACACAAAAATAAATTTTAAGAAAAAAAAAATTCTTTATTATCACCCGAGTAACGGGGGAAATCAACGATCTCTGTCGTCGATATTTGTAAACACTGATCGATTGATCGATCTATCGATCGACTCGAACTTTTTTAAAGTAAAACCTTAACCAAATTTAAAATAAAAATTTCCTCATAAGACTATGTGTTAAAAATGCGCGGTTTTCACGTAATTAAAAAAATTTTTTTTTTTATCTGCCGCCGGTAATTTTATTTATTTAAAGCACCAACTTTATTAATAATTATTAATTAAGTAATAATAATAATAATGATGATGATTAAACAATATTTCAGCTGATGTAATTTGTTTAAAAACCGACGTGAAAATAATTCGAAAGAAATAAAACGTACGCGTTTACTCATTTATTTATTTATCTATTTATGTATACATACGTACATACATACATAATACATTTATGTATGTATTTACGATAAAAAAAAAAAGGGATTAATTTTTTCTCACACGGATTTTGTCTCTTTTTGTCAATTAGCGGAAAGTGAAAAGAGCAAGCGAACGAGATTTTCGATATCAGGTAGTATAAAAATACATATAATTTTTTTTTTTTTTTGGTGTGTTTGCATCATTCCTTGTGTGTAATGCGTATGTACATGATAATAATAATAATTATTATTATTATGATAGATAGATAGATTTACATTGCTTTGCTTGAGCCAAGAAGTAAAATAATAACGGCTGATGCCATATATATATATGATAACAACTTTTTTCTCATTGAATTTGAATATGGATGTGATGGAAAATAATTTAATTAATATTTACAGAGCATAATGAGAAATCTTGTTAGAAGGTACGTAACGGTCGAACAAAGAAAAGCAGAATCACAAGGAGTCACGGAAGATGACGTGAACGAAATAAAACAGGATATATCTGCATTTAGATGCGAACTCATTGAAATATTAAAAAATTCTGGAATGAATACGAGCACGGCTTCCGGAATGGGTGCAGGTATGAATTTTTTAAAAATAGGTACCAATAGCGAAAGGATAGTTGGGGGAAAATAATAATAATTCTTTTCTGTAGGTTCCGGTGGTAAGAAAAACCGTCAGAAGGAAAGAAGGTTAATGAAAGGTTTTAATATAGCACCAACACCGGGACCGGGTGTACCATTGGCACCCGTTGCCGAATTTATAGCAAATTTACAAGCAGAACCTGAAATATTACAACATCAAGATTTATTCGGTTCTACTATATCAGGTAGGTGTAATTATTAAAAATAATAATAATTTATTGTAATAAAAGAGCATTCAATTATAGGAATTATAGGGACTCCAAACACAGTGCCAAAAAAATCAAATCAATTAAGAGAATCAATGCACGATGCTCCATCTTCGGCTCCACCATATGTACAAACAGGAAGTTTAAGCACTTCACTTCCGTCACAAAAATCATTATCTAAACTCACTCCAAAATTTAACATTTCGAAAAGGAGTTCGAGTCGTAAGAAAAGATGGGGAACATTAATGGAAGCTGCTAAATCGGGAAAAGTGAGTAAACTCATAAATAGGAGTCGATCCGAGGATTCCGTTTGCAATTCTAAAACCGATAGATATTCGACAAACAACAACAACAACAACAGCAACAGTCCGGGTAGCGATGAAAATCAAACCGAATCACAATCGGATTCAAATCCAAGTTTGGTCGATGCTTTGGGTAGCGGTTTATCAAGTTTACAATCGGGATTATCGAATTTCGGTTTGGGTTCGAGTGCGTTGGCAGCATTGAAAAGAAAACGTAAAAAATTTTCAACATCAAGAACGAAACAATGTATTAAAAGTGATGATAAAAGTTCAGATACCGTACAGATACCCGTTTCGAATGTTTATTCACTTTGCGACGAATCAAATAATAAACTTTTAAAAAGAGCTAGTTCAGTGCCTACGCGTAATCAAGAAGTTAACACTGTTAAATTAGTACAATTTAAAGAAGATGATGGAAACGATCGAGATGAAATCAATTCGTCGAATAATAAAAATCCGTTACTCGGTAATTTAGATTATAAAATAAATCAAATGAAAAGTTCGAGTTCGATCGAATCCAATCAAGAATCACAACAACAACAACAACCGGATAAACCACAGACGAAAAATACCGAACAAAGTTTAGCTTTTAAATCTAGGAACGGGAGTGCAACGTTGCCAAATTTACCCGGAGTACAACCCGTTAGCGGATCCCAAGGATGGCTATAGTTAATCAAATAATCTTTTTAAATCAAATATAGAATATATATATAAATAACGTTTTTAATTAGTTGAACATTTGTTTTTAAAAAAGATTAATTTGTCGCAAATAATAAATATAAATAAATTAGATTTAAGATAAATTTTATTTATTTATATATAATATATATATCGATATTTAAAATAAATATATATATAATTTTTTAATAAATTATTCACGAAATAAAAAGAAAGAGGGGGAAACGAGAAATTTATCTATTTCCACGTCGTTTAATATTTACTTGTTATTTACAATTCCATAGAATAAAAAACAAATTTCCTTTTTGTTTTTTTTTTTTTTTTTTACACGGTCGACATTTGTCTGCTTTTTACAGATTTGTCGGAAAATATTCAATATTAGCTATTTGTAAAAGCAAGTCATCAAATTAATCGTCGTTTACGGGTTTTTCGTTACACACACACACATATACATCTATTTTGGTTTTTTTTTGGTTTTTTTTTTTTTTGAGTTCGATATGCCTAGTTCAGGAGCTCTTTTTGGTAATACGGCAACGAGGAGTCAAAATAAAAATTTGGTCGAATTCAAAGCCGGAAAAATGACCATGAAAGGTAAAATGGTGCATCCCGATAAGCGTAAAGGGTTATTATACGTGTATCAATCGGAAGATTCTTTGATGCATTTCTGTTGGAAAGATAGAGTTACGGGAGTTGTTGAAGATGTAAGAAATTATTTATTTATTTATTTTTTTTCATTTCGTATAAATTGTAAATATCGATTTTTAATTCGCCGCAAATGGTGTAAAAAAACAAAATCGGTTAACAATCTTTCATCACATCACAAAAGCATTTTTTATAAAATATTTTCTTACATATATTTCCTTCATCAAATTATCATTTATTCAAATTTATCGTTTTTTCAGGATTTGATAATTTTCCCAGATGATAGTGAATTTAAAAAAGTCGAACAATGTACCACTGGAAGAGTTTACGTATTGAAATTTAAATCATCAAGCAGAAAATTTTTTTTCTGGATTCAAGAACCTAAAACTGATAAAGATGAAGAAAATTGTAAAAAAATTGTCGAAATGTTAAATAATCCTCCTGCTGCAGGCTCTGGAAGAAGCGGACATAATCCAGGTTTTTTAAAATGATTCTTATTGATCACATAAAACTGATATTTTATTAATTCTTACATCTCCATATCAAAATACAGTTTATTTATAAATTTTTTAGAAGCTGATTTACAAAATCTTTTGGGTAGCATGACACAGCATCAATTGATGCAACTTTTTGGAACTTTTGGTACCGGTGGTGCTGGCGGATTGAGTAACTTATTAAGTACAATGAGTAGGCCCCCTCAAGAGAGGGCTCCTGTCGTTACAAATAATACAGTTACTGCAACGGAATCTGCTTCGACTACAACTTCATCTGATTCATCAGTGAGGTATTGTCAAACATATCATCTCGCATTATAATAAAATTTCATTCATTCAAATAATCAATTATTATTATTATTATTATTTTAAAGAATGTTAGCCACAACTAATGCTGCAGGGGCTGCTAATGCAGGAACTACGGTGACTAGAAATAATTCTGGAGTAGCATCTAGCAATCAGCCGATACAATTGAGCGATTTACAAAAATATTTATCTAATCTTACTCAACCGACAGAAGGAAGAGTAACTGCTCCACCCAATGGTAAATTTAAAAAAAAAAAAATGTCTCTTATGTAATGTTTATTCGATTAATATAATAAATTTAATTATTATATTTAGTGGATTTATCCGATGCTCTCAACTCTGAAAGCATAGCTGGTGTTTTAAATGATCCAAATTTAATAAGAGAATTATCTCCTCATCTTCCGAACATAGGAGGAACAGAAAGTACAGAACAACAGTTAAGATCAACAATAACATCACCTCAGTTTCAACAGGTTAGATTTTGATTGATTAATAAGGATTACATTTTAGGCCATGTTATTTTCTTTTTTTTTTTTTAAATTTTATACTTTTAGGCGGTTAGTATGTTCAGTGCAGCATTACAATCAGGTCATTTAGGACCAGTTGTACAGCAGTTTCAAGTTGGGGAAAATGCTGTTAATGCAGCTAGAGAGGTAGGATAATAAAACAAACAAACAAACAAACAAAATAGTAGAAATATATATATAAGAATAGGTTGTCGATGGACAATTAACGATTATCATTACTCTTCATTTTACTTTCTTTCTTTCTATTATAAAGATGATTTATTTTCTTTTATTTATTATTTATCTTTATCGATCTTTTATGTAGTTTTAAATAAATAAATAAATAAGGAAACAGTATATGTTGCCCAACTTGAAACCTGCATTTGTCGTTTGTAAATGTTCAATTAAAATCAAAAAAGAAAAAAAAAAGTTGAAACGATTAAAAATAAACATTCTCCCCCCTTTTTTTTTATTATTATTATTATTTTTTTTTTTTTTATAGGGAAACATGGAAGAATTTGTTAAAGCATTGCAAAACACTAGTTTAAATCAAAGTGGTAAAAACGATGATGAACCCAAACAGCAACCGGAAAAAAAGAAAAAAACAGATGATAAAAAAAACGATGATAAAAAAGACGATGATGAAATGGCATTGGGTTAATTTTATTTTTATACGTTTCTTTTTAAAATCGATCTATCGATAGATCGATCGATCGATCGATCGATGAATCGATTAATTAATTTTCTTCTTCCTTTTTATTAATATTAATAATATTTTTGTTCTTTCTTCTACTTATAATAAATATATATATACAAATAAATAGTTTTCATTTTTAGAATATAATTTTTCGAATGATTTATTTTAATTAATTAATTATAAATTGTTAAATAAATCACCTTTTTTTTTGTAAGAATCTATTATTTATTTATTTACATATTTATTTAAAATAATTCCATCATTTTTTAAAATATTTTTATCTTAATTAAAACAATACAACAAAAAAAATGGCCACTTTGAAAACTAAAAAATTATTTTTATATCATCATTATTAATTTTATGTAAATAATAATAATAATAATAATAAATATACTTATTAATAATTTTAATAAGAAAAAAAATAAATCACAGTGAAAAAAAATTTTTTTTTAAATCATTAAAAACTAAAAAAACTCCTACTCGTCGACTTCGTTATAAATTAATTAATTATTATTATTATTATTATTATTAATAATTTACAGGAATGATTTTCACCACCGCTTTTAAAACAAAACGGTTTACTTATATATTTAAAATTATTTTGTACCTCCATTTAAATTATCAAATATTTACAACAACAACCACAAACTATATTCATGTATATATATATATAAATTTAGGGACGGATGAAAAATATATATAAAAAAAAATTTCACTCTACATCATCAAAATAAAAAAAAAGAGATCAGAAATAATTTTTTTTTAAGAGAGAGAGAGAGAGAAAATCAATCAATCAATCAATAAATAAATTAAACGGAATGTGAAAGCAACAAATAGTTTAATTCCCCCCTCTCCTCATCCTCATCCTCATCCTTATCCTCCCATCCTCATCTTCATCTTCTCATCCTCATCCTCATCCTCATCCTCCCATCCTCATCTTCATCTTCTCATCCTCTCATCCTCCTTCTCATCCTCATCCTCATCCTTTCACCCTCAACCTCATCCTCATCCTCATACTCTTACCCTCATCCTCATCCTCTCATCCTCATACTCTTACCCTCATCCTCATCCTCTCATCCTCATCCACATCCACATCCTCATCCTTATCCTCCTCCTCTCACCCTCATTCTCATCCACATCCTCAACCACAACCTCAACCTCAACCTCAACCTCATTCTCATCATCAACCTCATATCCTCATTCTCTTACTCTCACCCTCATCCTCCTCTATCCTCTTATCCTCCTCATCCTCCTTCATTTGATAAAATTTAAATAACCGTTTCCGAATCTAAACCGTTTCCCTCCCTGTACGCCGGTGGTCCCTGACTGAAAAACGAATTCGCGATTCCATCCGTATTTCTCGTTAAATCCACCCTAAACCTTTTATTAGAATTTCTCATGCTACCATCGTTTCTCGTAAAATGTGACGTATTATTATTATTATTATAATTACTATTACTACTATTCGTTTGGTTGTTGTTGTTGTTGTTGCTGCTGCCACTACCACCACCACCATTATTACCACTACCCCCGTGGCTTCCTTTTATGTTAAGACCTAAAAAATTAAAATTTTTTTGTGAAAATGATTTTAACGTCGCAACGTTTTTATTTGGATAAAAATTATTTTGATTATCTCCTACTCCTCCTACTACTACTCCCCCCACTCCTCCACCACCTCTCGTTTTATTTTATTATTATTATTATTATTATTATTTCTATTTGTACTTATTGGAACTTGAGCAACGGCTTGATTTGAAAAATAATCGTTGTTGTTGTTTTGAAGAAGATTGACAGGTCGACTAGCGTGATAATTCGAATAACTCGAACGTGCGCTGTTGGGCCTGTATATTTCATCCGCACCTGTAAAAAACATAATAATAATAATAATAAAGAATGATTTCCAGCAACGACAGCAATGTCAGCGACAAAACCCAACCAGATTGATTAAGTGACGAATTACTACTTTGTTGAAAAATTGGATTGCTTAAACCCACAGTCTTGAATCCATTATTTACATCGTAATCATCACCTCCGACAGAATCCATCATGGCCGCCGATAATTGATTGGACGACGAATCCAAAGGAATGGAAGAATCATTGAACGACGTAGAAATCATAGAAGATTCTAAAAATCTATTTTGTTGTTCCAAAAGTTTCGTGACCGGATTCTGATGTGTTCGTGACCTTCTTTGAGATGACGACGACCTTTTGTCGAAAATCGAATCAATTAATAAAACAGGGAGAGAGAGAGAGGGGGGAGGAGGGAATTTGCAAAGACAAAAAATAACAACTACTTTGATCTTGAGCTTCCCTGTCTCCTTTGTGTCAGACTAGATCTGTTCATCGTGTCTCTAGCAAGAACGCTCCTCCGTTTGACTCTTCGAGGTGTCATGGGTCTCGGCGAAACGGGACGTGGTCCGTAACCTAAAAAATCACGAAAATCTTTTTACTCTTCTCCTCCTCCCTCTCCCCCAAACAAAACTTAATTGAATACTATGGGGGGGGGCTCAAACTCACCATCAGACCGATCCGGTTGTTGTTGTTGATATTGACTCAAATGACTCCTCATGGTTTGTGTTGCGTAATTTGGCGGATAAGCATCGGATCCGCGGGAATCTTTCGTTTGTGCTGCAAACAAAATCAATCAATCAATCAATCAATCAATCAATCAATCATAAAATTTTATTTTTAACCGTTTAAAATATAACAATCGTATTTCGATATAATTATTTAACGCATTCGAAAAAAAAAAAAACCTACCTAAACATTATAAAAGCCATTTTGTGCAGTGAGAAATGAATTCAAAATGCAGAAAAAGCCAAACCAGCTAAATATAAAATAAAATCCGGTTAGAGTGAAGAAAAAAAAAGGACAGCGTGATAAGTCGATAATAATAATAATACTAATAATAATAATAATAAGCAGAAATAAAAGAAAAGCTTTTAAAAAAAAAAAAAAAATTAATACTCACCCATTTTGTTCATAAAAATAATTACAAAAAAAATAAACAAAATTTGCCATCAGTTTCATTATCATTATCATTATCATTATTATTAATAAAAGAAAATCTACTACTCCTTTAGCAAATGGATAAAAAAAAAAAAAAAAAGGCACAAACACCGCGCAAGCCGCCGATTTGTATTAGTATATAATATATATAAAGCCAAAAAAAAAAAAAAAAAATTAGCTTTAAATATGCTTCCTACATATTTATGTATATATATATATTATTAAAATAAATTACATAATGTCAAAAAAAATAATAAAAAATAAAACAAGTTAATAAAATTTAAATAAATTAATTAAATTAAATAATTAAAATTAAATAATTAAAAAGCAGACGATTTTTAACAAACTGCTTAAATAATAACAATAAAATAATTTTTTGGTTTTTTTTATAATCCCAAATTTTATTTATTATAAATATATTTATATATATATATTTTTCGTTGTGACTAGTAGGCCAGTTTTATTATTATTATCATTATTATTAAATAATATATGAATGATATTTGCAAAAATTTGTCTTATGGTAATTACTTGTGCGCATCCTGCTTAGTTATTTAAATTTCATTCGTTAAAAAATTCTCTGATAATAAATCAGTGAATGAATGAATGAATGAATGAATTGTCGAATGAATATTATTTATAACAAAACATTATTAAGTACTTTTTTTTTTTTTTGTAAATATCGAATACTTATATGGATCGAAATGGATCTTTTTCAATTAAAAAACAAATAAAATGTCGTCAAAAGTGAAATAAAAAATCATAATTGATAATTAAACATATGTAGCAGCTCCTGATGCTTTTAAAAAATCATCGACAGTTGAATAATTACTTCTATTTTTATTTTTTATTTTTAATTTCGAATAACTCACACCTGACCTATTATAATACATCATACCACCACCACCACCACTACTACTACGACTACGATTACTACTATTCCGTCTTTTATTATCTTCATTTCTTTTATATTTTATTTTATTATTATTATTATTATTTTTGAAGCAATTCCAATTTTTAATTTCGCTTGACACATATATAGGATGCACTTCAACTTGCCTCAACGATTTAGAATTGTTCCAAAAAAACAACACTGAAAATAAAGTAATAAGGTTAAGGTTAGGGTAGTAGCACCAAAGTCGAGTGCTATGCAAAATGTAAAAATTATTATTTCTCAATTTTTAAGTTTTTTTTTTTTTCTCATAAATTTAAAATTAATAAAATAATCAAAGAAGGATTTAACGATTTGATAAATTTCAAGTTATTTTTAAACTTACCAAACTACCACATATTTTGTGGATGAAATCCACCAATATAGTCAACTGTAATTTTAAAGTGTTTCGATGTAATATAAGTAAGATAAACTTGACCCCCCCACACTCCCTCCCTCCCCCCTTCTCTTTATTCGTTCTAATCGATTAAAGACTTAATATGAATTTGTTTTTTCGTTTTTAAATGTGTTAGTGTTATTTTAAATCACAAAACTGATTACATATGTAAGTGCAAGCAAGCTAAATTTAAATGTAAAATGTTAGAAAAAATTTTGTTTAAGTTTTGTTAATTATGCGTGTTATGCTAAATTTTATTCCCTATCACCTCATTGTGCAATTTAAACAACTTAATTTATCAGGTAAACATAAGTTTATTCTTTTTTTTTTTTTTGAATTTTTAATTAGGAAACAAAATTATAAAAACTTACAACTATCATCTTCGTCAATATACAACTTGCTCATGTACATTCCACTAATAACTGCTAAAATCTGTAAGAAATATAAATTAAATAATCAATTTTACCAAAATAATCATTCTCATGTTCAATTACTAAAACTAAAGGAATGAAATGAAAAAATTATTCAAGTGTATTCGAATCTTGCTTAAGCTAAAGTTTTAGTTCGATATAGATATAATAAAACTCACACTGAGTAAACATTGCATTGATGCCTGAATCACTTCGATAAATTGATATTCAATGAGACAACCTTCAACTTTAGTCGGTCTAGGAGGTCTGGATGGATCAGGATCTTGTTCTAGACTAGAACCGTTATTGACTGATGTGAAATCGGCTATGCAACCATATCCGTGTATTTCCCACCAACTTCTACTTCCAGTTCCTAAATTTAAAATATCACTATTCTACAAAAGAAAAATATTCAAATATAATCATAAATAATAATAATGATTGTATCGATAAAAGGGGAATTAAATTTTTTATTTAAATCAATTTTCAAAAGAAATATTTACCTTGTCTAAAACTCCAGTATCTAAATAAAAACAAATAATAAAAACCGTCCAACCTATCCAAAAAATATTCCATAAAGAATACTAAAAAAAAATTAATAATAAGTATGAGGTAAAATTTAAAATGATTTCGATGTGATAAACGATGAAAAAAATGAATCAGGTCATACATAATTATACTCACAGAAAGTATGTATTTGGTACTATATTGCAATGCTCCAAAAAATCCATGAATTATAAAAATTATGTGAAAAAAATTGGCTAAGATTGGCCCATACATAAAACCCATAAAATCAAATACTTGACATTCTACAACCACAAGCTGTGTAAAAAAAAAAAATAGATAAAAATATTACCTCACTTGTCTTGTGAGATGATTTTATCATCTTAAAAATTATATCTCTTAATGTAAAGTACTAACAAGTTGCAAAGTGCATATTGTCAAAACAAAGTGTCTAGCAGAACACTTTCCCATATTCTAAATAAATTTTGCTTCTTTCAAATAAGAAGCTAATAAAACAAGCATTCAAATTTCCAAAATGATGTAAGCCAATACATTAAGAATGATAAATTAAATTAATTTTTTTTTTTTTTTTTTAAAATAATCGAATCAACTCATTATGAACGAATACGCGAATAGTTTTGTAAACACAGGGCAACCAACGTAGAAAAAAAAAAATTTTCAAGTAAACGAATATTATATCGAATTTAAATTATTATAATAAATAAATTATAATATAATATATTAAAAATTAATAAAAATTATATTCTTTAACTTGAGTGATTTAATTAAATTAATAATTAATATCTCGTTTTAAATTTTCTTTTAAAAAAAATTGGCGCCATTAGTGTGACGAAATGATGACGAAATCAAAACGCGTTCGAAAAAAAAAATTTTAACGTTATTTTTTTTTTTTAAAACGTTTGTAAAATTTGCTCAAATATATATTTTCCCTTTATAACTTATTTTCTTTTTTTAAAAAAGTATTGAAACGTGTTTTATTATATTACTATTAATTGTGTTAATGTTTTTTTAAAATAAAAAACAATTTTTAAATATTACGAAATCGCCATATTACTCATCCATCGCCATTAAATTCCATAATCCATTAATTTTTTTTTTTTTTTAAACTATTTTATTCCTTCACGTAAAAAAACAAAAAAAAAAAATCCACCTGTTGAAAATTAACTCATTTAACGATATTTTCCAAACGTTTACTTGTTAACATTATTAAATGTAATAAAATATTTTTTTATGTAATTTATCATCGTGTAAAATAACCACTTAAACTCCCACGCAAATTTTTTAAACGGATATTATGAAAAAAAAAAAAATAACTTAAATGCCAACGAAAATTAATTTAAAATATTGGGATAATACGTAATAATAATAATAATAATAATAATAATGAATCATTTAATTTCGTAATTAACAAAACAACTCGAATAGCGATAAATTTTTTCTTCTTCTAATAAAATTAAATAAATTTCGAAACGTTTAACCGTTATTTAACTTAATGGACGCAATTTTTTTTCCATTTTAATGATAAAATTTAAATAAATCATTAAATTATTTATTAAAAACACACGATTAACTCGAAAATATACACGATAAAATAATATTACCCCCACTCCCCCTCCCCATCCGCCCACACATTCTCATTATTATTATTTTCCGTTATTAACGGTTATTTATCGTTTTCATTTTTCATCAACGATCTATATTAACAACAATCTATTATTATTATTAAAAAACATTCGCGAAATAATAATAAAAAACCGCGGAATAAATATTATTATTATTATTATTATTATTATTATTATTATTATTATTATTATTAATTAATTAACTATTAATTATTTTTCGCGAATTTAAACCGTACTGTATTCGTTCGAATGCCGTTACGCTTCCCGCATTCGAATGCAGAAAAACAAAATTGAAAAAAAAAGTGGCGCCAGAAATCGGCTGCAGCGTACGTCAGCAGCAGAAGAAAACAAAACAAAACGTAAACAAAAACATTTCTTCTCACTCGTTAAACGGTACGATAAATATAAACTCAACACACATAAATATATAATTATCATTTTTTTTTATTATCATTATTTTTTTTCTCTCTTTCTTTCTTTATTCAAAAAAAAAAAAAAAAAAAAAGAAGACAAGGTATTTATTTAAAAAAAAAAAAAATTAAAATGAAAATAATAATAATAATAATAATAATAATAAAATAAATTAAAACAATAATAATAATAATATTAATAATATATATATGTATATATATATATATATCTATAAAATTTTTTTTTTTTTTGTCATTTACTTTTATTATAATAAACGTTTCAAAGTGAATTTTTTATTTTATTTTTTTTTTTAAATAAATAATAGCATAAAAACTGATAATCGTAACTTTTAATTGTCAATATAATTAATATTGATGATATATCTTATATTATTATTATTTTTATTTTTTTTTATATTTTGTACAAAACATTTTTTTTTTTTATTAAATTATTTATTTTATTTATTTATTTATTTATAATCCTTAATTAATTGTTATATTTAAATTATACAAATTTATTATTACTCGTTCGGAACTCATTTCAATAATAATAATAATAATAATAATAAATTAATTCGCCGATTTATTATTTATATATATATGTTATATTTTACAAAAAAAAAAAAAACTTATTATTATCATTATTATTATTACTTAAATAATTATTTTTCAATTCTTTTATATTATTATTATTATTATTATTATTATTTGTATGTTTTGATTTTTTTGATTTTTCTATACATAAATTTCTACAAATTGACTTTTTATTACTAAAATTTTTTTTACTTACAATTTTTTTTTCTTTTATTATTATTATTATTATTAAAATTTATTTATTTATTTATTTAAAAAAAAAATAATTTAAAAAAAAAAAAACTTTTTTATTTTATTTTTTTAAAAACTTTTATATTAAATTTTTTTCTTTTTTTTTTTTTTTTTTATTTAAATTATTATCATCATCATTATCATCATCGTTATTATTATTAAATAACTAAATTTCTTTTTTTTTTATTGAAAAATTTAACAAAAAAAAAAAATTATTTATTTATTTATAATAATTAATAAATAATAATTAATAATAATAATAAAATTTCATTCGATTCAATAAGGGGGGGGGGTTTTTCTTTTTAATTTTAATTTAAAAATAATAATAATAATAATAATAATAATAATAATAATAATAATAATAATAATAATAATAATAATAATAATAATAATAATATTAATATTTATTTTATTTTGATTCAATTTTTATTTAATTTAAAATTTACATAATAATAATAATAATTATTATTAATTATTTTATTTAAGTAGGAAAAAAGTATATTTATTTCATCGTAAATGATAATTTAAAAAAAAAAAAAAAAATTATTTTTATGTAAACTCATTTATGTACATATGTATGCATGTATGCACGCACGCACGCACGCACGGACGCACACGTGTCGCGGTATTACTTGTAAATAATAAAAGTACATTTTTAATTAAATAAATTATTCGGCTGCGTGTCGTTCACACACGCACACACGCAAATACATACACACGTACGTACGCACGTGCATACACGCGTACTCACACACTCTCTCTCTCTCTCTCTCTCACTCTCACTCAAATATATATATATACACATCATATATATGTACACTCATATTAATATATATGTACATATATATTAATATTAAAAAAAAAAAAAAAAAAAAAAAAAACACTGTTTTCATATCATTTTTGAAAATATTCACAAATGTTCATTTCCTTTTATCATTATTATCATTATCATCATCATTATTATTATTATTCTCAATATTCGGAAAAAAAAAACATCAAGTCTTTTCCTCTTCGTAACCTTTTTAGTTTTATATATATAAAAAGTTTTTCTCCGTTTAAACATAATTACATCAATCACTTTAATTAATTATCAGTTTATAAAAATCCCGTTTCCGTTTCCGTTCCCTTCTTCTTCTCCTTCCTCTTTCTTCCCATCATCATTATTATTTATAACACCATTTTACAAAAGTTTTTTAAACAACGAACGATATTTACATTTTTTTTTTAAAAATTATTATTATTATTATGTACAAGGAACATTTAAGGAAATTTAGGATTTTTTTAAAGGAAAGGAGTGGGAGGAGTAAGAGGGAGGAGTGACAGGGAGGGTGGGAGGAGCGAGGTGGAAGGGGAGGAGAGAGAAAAAATTAGATTGTCTCGTACGAAAAAAAGACAATCCCGAAGAATGTTTTTTTTTTTACTAATAATAACCGTTTTAAAAAAATTTTTTTTCCCTTTCGTTTGTTTCTCGTTTGTTTGTTTGTTTGTTTGGAGTTAGTAAACAAAATGAGTAGTAATATTTTCACACCGGAGGAGTTTTTTAACTTCACATTATCATATTATTTACATTTATTTATTTATTTTTTCCTGTTTATTTCCTCGTACCTATTTTATACTTATTTCCTTTATCGTAACAAAAAACTTACTACTTTTTTTCACCTTTTAAATATATATACATATATGTATATATGTATTTATGTATTTATGTATATATATATATAAATATATAAATTATTTTAAATGTAATCAATAATATTATTTTGTCTATCAACAATACTAATTCGTCAATGAGTATAAAAAAATTGAACACTGCATTTTCTTTTTTTTTTTTTTCTTTTTTTTTTTGGACAATACACTAAAATTTTCATCTTTTCTGTTTTTTTTCCTTTTTTCCTTTTTTTTTACTTTTATAGTATTTATAAAAAAAAAAAAAAAATTTTTTTCCAGATTTTTTAAAATTTTTTTTTTCGTTTTTTTTTTTTATTTTTTTTTTTATTTTTATTAACAATTAATATAGTCGTCTTGTACATCAACAATATTTATGTCCATTCCTGTATCCACTACTATAACTGTTCAACAAATTTTGACAGTTGGTCCTGAGGAGTCATCGGAGTCACATCCGCGTTTTCCTGCGACGGAGGATTCGACGGGGGTCCGCCGGCGGAATTATGATGCGACGGTTGACCCCCCGCGAGTTGTGTGAGTCCGAGCATTTCGCCGCCCAACTCGTGATGAGGCGAAGACATGGGGCCGTGGTGGGGCGACGGCACGGGTTGATTACGCGGAGACGGCACGGGTCGCGGACTCGGGTTCGGTTGAGGCGAACGTATCGGAGGAGGAGACCTGACGGACATGAGTTGTTGCTGAACAAGATTCGAGCCGGGAGGGCCCATGACTCCTTGCGGGGACGGAACGGGAGGTGGAGTCGGCTTGTACCCGGGACCACCGTAATTCATTTGAGGCCTCATCCCAGGCAACCTTTGTGGGTATCCGGGCGGTTGCTGGAATTGTTGTTGCTGCTGCTGCTGCTGTTGACGCTGAGTCATTGCTAATAATTGTTGTTTGTACCTACCAGAAAAGAAAAAAAAAAAAAATTTTTTTTTTTATACTTTAAACACGCACACGCGCGTACGCATAAAAATCATTAAACAAACCAGTGAGCTTGTTGCTGTCCTTGTTGTTGTTGTTGTTGTTGTTGAGGATTTTGTTGCGCCATTTGCTGGCCCGGTATTTGCATTTGCATTTGTAACCTATTCTGATGCTGCTGTTGCTGACTTAACATGTGCTGTAATTGAGGATTATTCATGGCAGGGCTACCTTGATTTGAGCATGATGGACCCTAAAAATATAACGCAACCGTTTTTTTTTTTTTTTTCAAATCGTTTCACAGCTACAAACACAAACTCAATGTCAAATTTAAAAATGCAAAATAATCTACAACGAAATTCAAACATTATTATTCGCCTTAACTAAAAGCATATTTGAAAAATAATAATAATAATAATAAAAAAAAAGTTAATGTCTGCATTGATAATAATAATAATACTCACTGAGAATAAAATTAACAGGATGAGGAAAGGTAAATAGAAGGATTATCAGGATAGGCGGTTTGATACTTTCTGAAATGATATTCAACACTAGATTGCCGGAAAGAGTCGATTTGACTCCACTTTGTATGTTTCCGGTTAAGGTACTGTAAATACGTCACACATACAAATATAAATTAAAATTAAATTAAATTAAATACCAAAAAAAAAAAAAAAAAAAAAAAAGAAATTTTTTTTAAAACTAAATTTTGACCTGATTCACGGAAAATAGGTATAAAACCCAAAATCTGGCAATCTAGTGTTAAAGAAGGAATATTAATATTTGCATTTAATTGAGATGTTAAAAAAATTTAAATTTTCCCCCCCCTCCCCCTCCACCGTTTTTCTTTTTTTTTGATTAATTTGAAATTTAAAAAAAAAATGAAATTAACAAACCTGAGCATTCGTCATTGGTCCAGGAGGGTTTTGACCCTGCTGCATTTGGTGTTGATACGTTTGCCTTTGTTTAATAAAAGCTGCCATTAATTGCGGATTGCTCTTAAGTATCTGAAAAAATTCAAAATTCATTTTATTCATTCATTAATGGCGATTAATTATATTTTAATCATCAAGTGTAATTGTACATTTTAAAAAAAAACGAACCTGTAAAATTTGCTGTTGTTGGTCAGGCGTGTTTGGCGATTTTAACGTTTGCAACAATTGTTGAAGAGCTTGTTTTGGCATTGTTCCACCTCCGGCGACTTGAACCTGAGAACCGGGTGGTAATCCAGCCCCTCCTCCCGGACGAAGGCCGACCATCATTTGCTGTTGTTGAGGCGGAGGAGGAGGCTGTTGTTGCTGCGCTTGAGCTTGCTGAGGTACTTGTTGTTGCTGTAATTATTTATTATTTTCATTTTAAAAAAAAAAGAAAAAAAATTAACCGAAAATTTTTTTAAATAAATTTTTACCGGTACTACTGGTTGTTGAGGCATTACTTGTTGTCCGGGTTGCCTAATTCCGGGACCGATATTATTCTGCGGCTGCTGTTGCTGAGTATTGTTGGGATACCTCGGCGTCCATTGATCCATTGGTAATAAATGTTGACCTATATTGCTTATACGTTGTTGAATTGGAGGCGGCATGACAGCCTGAGGCGGATTAACTTTTCCGAAATTCCCATGCGGCGCTTGCTGTCTCGCCGCTTCGGCCTGAACCTGTTTGACGACTTGAAGTACATTTGGCGGAGGAGTTTGTGCCCCGGGCTTTAAGCCGATTCCTTGATGAGGTGATTGCATGGGTAGCATTACGTTTTGCCCACTAACTGGACTCACCTGAAGATGAATAACAAATGTAAAATTTCAAAACTTAAATTTCTATTCCGGGTTTTATTTAAGAAAGGCAATGTGAGAAAACTTACAGCCTGAGAGGATGGAGTTGAAGTCGGTTTCGCTCTTGTATTCATAACAGCCATTCTTCTTCTTAATAATTGAGCCTGTTGTAACCTATGTTGAAGTTGTTGTTGTTTTAATTTGTGTTTAATATTTAGACAGAAAGGTACCGGACATTTTTGTTCCTAAAAAAAAAAAAAAAATTATTAATTATTCAAACGTTGTATAATTTTCAAGTGAAAAGGTAAATAAACGAGTGTGCGGTGAATACTTACAGGGCAATGTTTCGCATGGTAGCAACATAGAGCAATAAGCTGCTTACAAATGGGACAACCACCGTTTGTTTTTCTCTTACAAACTTTTGTGTGCTGCGTCACCCTCTTCATTTTCTGACAACTTGGCAACCTACAATTAGCATCGCGACATTGACAAGCGTGAACCAATGAGTGAATACACCTCTGAATGGACAATTTTCTAGCTTCTTGCGGATTGGCCTTTTGACCCTCGACGGGCGAACCGTCATCGAGATCGAAACCCAATTTTTCCATTTTATGCGGATGTCCCTCTTTGTCGTAGCATTGAACGCACAAATCGAAATCTTCGCATTGCGTGCAGTGATACCTTGTTTCCACGTGGCTTTTGCAGTTATTACACGTGTATACAAATCTATAATTTTGAATAATTGTTACGAATCATGAACAATCACATAATAAATTTAAAATTTTTGTAGGTAATTTTCAAAGGTGAACTTACTTGTCTTGACCTTGATTGTGTAACTCGTACAGCATGGCCATGCTCGAATATTTTGCTCTTCTCAACGATGAAAATTCATAATGTTTTTCTCTGGCCATTGTTAAAAAGGCATCTCTGCCGTCCATTAAATCACAGTTAATGAAAGGATCGGGATCTTGAATGGGCTATAAAAATTTTAAAATTTAAATAAAAATTTCTGATTTGAAACTTGAAAGCGTGTAAATTTCTCTAGGCAACTTACAGCTAAACTTGCAGCACTTTGAGCAGAGTGAAGTCTAATGACAAAAAATACTTCTTTGTGCTTTTCCATTGTGGCAAATATTTTAGCCGACAAATCATTTCCAGTTTGAGGAGTATTCGATTTTTTACTATTTTTCCTTTGATTAGCTTTCGACTTGTTTGACTTTTTAGCTTTTTTCTGTCCCTTTTTCTTACCATCTGATCCACCTTCGCCAGCATCATCTGACAAAGAATAAACCTTAAAAAAAAAAAAAAAAAAAATTAATTAAATTAGAACAAAAAGCGGAAAGTAAGTAATGCTCGAGAGTAAAAAATGATCAATGAAATATTTTGCCCGAAAAATAATATTAATTTCAATTTATTTTATTATACTAACACTTGCAGCAGCTTCTGCAGCCTCCGCTTGTTTTCTTTTCTCCTCTTCTTCTTGATCCAACTCTTTAATACTTTCTTCTAAAACGTTAGGCCAAAAGTCTCCCTCGAAATAAGGTAATTCCGCAGCTGAACTTAATTTATCTTCCATTGCTTGTTTTAGTATATCCTAATAAAAATAATAATTAAGAGTTTAGGTAAAGCTTACGTTTTGACAAAACATTTATTTATTTATTTATTTTTTTTTTGCCACTATCTCTTACTTTATAATCTAAAACTATCCTTTCTATAATGCCTTTGTCTAACATTTTTTTATACCATTCTTGAAGTCTTTTAGGCTTTGGTATTTTCTGTTCAGCAGGATGACAATGAAAAATATAATCGTCACCTTCAGACGGTGGACATGCCCAAATATGCGCCATTGTGTAACTGTAATAATAATAATAATAATAATAATAATTTTTTTCTTTAACAAATTACAAATATTTTTAAAGTCCTCCTCCCCCCCCCTCCCCGTAAATTCAATTTATTTTAACTCACCCTAATTGCTTTACATAATCCAGATATCCTAGTAAAATTTCATGATATACCGCCGTACGGAACTGCCTAGGCCTAAAGAAATGTACAGAGTCTAAATACGCGATGTAAACGCGCCTAGTGTTCGGTGTCGGACAATCAGAACCGTATTCTTGAACGTGCATTCCGAAAAAACAAACGTCGGCTCCATCCACGTCCTCAAATGCAAATAAAGCTTTCGCTCTATATGGAAATTGTTCTGGAAGATCGCCATTGTCAACAAATCTAAAAGGTAACACATATAATTAAGTATTAACGTTTTTAACTGCATTCGTAGGAATATTTCAAATATTTCCTTTAAAATTGGAAATTCGCATAGTAACCTATTTCTCATTCCCGGTTTGACTTCCACTATTTTATCCGAACTCGAAACCACTCGGATCGCGACTTCGCCTGCTCCCGCTTCTTTTTTCTTCAAGTAATTATTCACTCTTGTTTCGATGTAGGTTCCTAATTTTGTCACGGGAAGCCTTTTGGCATTGAATTTATTTTCCTTACGTTTCGCACCCTTCTTTTTCAGGCAATTATCACAAGTAAATCTAAAACAAAATGAATTGATTATTAAAAAGAACTACACATAATTATTTATATATATATATATTAGGGATTAATTGAATGGAAAATATATACCCATTTGGCCATATGGCTTCCATGTAAAGCACGCAAATCTGATGTAATTTTCTCCCGCAATCACTGCAGGCTACAAAAGGCTCCAACTCTAAATGATCGTTTTTTAATTCCTTGAATTGGTCCTTTTTAATTACCCTATAAATTTTACAATTTTTTTTTTTTTTGTTATTTTCGTAATTTTATTTAATTAACGATGGAAAAATAATTATTAGATTGTTACGTACGATTGAGATTGACTTGGATCGTCTCCTAGTGTCACGGTGTCCCCCGGAATGTCATTAAAACACTTTTGGCAAAATGTGTACCTTTAATTAAAAAAATATTCGCAGCATATGTAATAAAACCTCAAAATGTAAAAAAAAATCTTTCCTTTCGAATAAAATAATAATAATAATAATAATAATAATAAAATTTTTTTTTACCTGTTTTGAAAACTAAAATACTTTGCATCCTTAGGAATGGTACAAAGTTGTTTTCCGTAGCAACAAAGTACCTGGGGATTAAATGTAT